AACCTTCATTAGTTCAAAGCTATCTTTAAGTGGATCATTGGATTCATTTTAGGTGCTTTGAATTAGTGATAGGTTTAGTACCTTAATCCACCAAGAAGAGTGATGGAACTTAAAGATGGAATGATTCAAATATTGCAATTCAATTTTGCTTCCCTTCCCCTTTGTGGATGCGGGATTCAGTCCCTTCTTTCAAAGTAAGGTCGTCCATTCTCTACATGTGAACTCTTAATTCATCCCAATAGAGGGAAGGGAAAAAAGCTAAATAAAGCCGTCAGTGCGTGCAATCCAATTCATTAAGAGATTTAGGAACCATGATTAGTTATACAAAGGGAAGGTATTAACATCCTAAGTATCTATAATATTCTATAGAAGCCTCTTGCATATATTTGTGCTTACTATTGATTAGTCATCTGCTGTGCATTGAGGATTTTGTTTACTGTTTTGAGCGAGTGATAGGAAATGTTTTTGTTGTTTTTGTGGTGTAAGTTGAAATGGTTTGAGATAAAAGTATAGGAACCTAAGGGTTTTATTTATTATTGTGCTTGCTAAGATCTCGCAATCTTATGCCTAAGTATTCTTAAAAGGAAGTTGAGAAATCAGATCGTTCGTAGTTCCACCTACTAATAGGTGGATTTGAGTTTGTTGGGTTTGAGAGAAGAGACAAATTATCATATTAAGGGAGATATCTCACTTATTTACCACAAACATTTTGAGAAAATAAATAAATGGAAGAAGCTTTGAACTTGGATGTAGAAAATCCAGAGTAGTATCACATCTTCCTTTAAATGAATATTTTCATATTAAGAGAAAGACCTTGATTTGGATGTATAATCAACAAGTGTGCCACTTACATCACTTAAATGAAAGAAATGATTTTGTACCATAATAAGAGAAGGACTCCAGCAAGTGTGCCACTTACAATGATGCGTAAAATAGTTGAAAGTACTCATGGTCATCCATTGAAAAGTTTAAAACTTACAAAAGGAGATAAACCATGTGAAGCTTGCTCTCTTGTCAAACTAATAACAAAACATTCACCATGTAAGATTCATAGAAAATCACCTGCATTTCTTGAAAGAATTCAAGGCGATATATGTGGACATATCCATCCACCATTATGACCATTCAAGTACTTTATAGTATTAATTGATGCATCTAGTAGATGGTCATATGTATGTTTACTGTCAAGTCATGATATGACATTTACAAAATTTCTTGTACAAATAATTAAACTAAGGGCTCAATTTCCTGATTACACTATTAAGAAAATTAGACTTGACAATGCTGGTGAATTTACATCTGAATCATTTAATAATTATTGCATGTCAATTGGAATTATTGTTGAACATCCTGTTCCTCATGTGCATACACAAAATGGTTTAGCCGAGTCTTTTATCAAATGTATTCAATATATTTCTAGACCATTAATTATGAAAACTCAACTACCAGTTATCGTTTGGGGTCATGCAATTTTACATGCTGCATCACTCATCATTCTAAGGCCAAGTGTTAATCCTAAACATACACCTTATCAACTTGCAATTGGTAAGGAACTAAATATTTCTCATTTAAAGATATTTGGTTGTGCAGTATATGTCACAATATCTCCACCACATAGAACAAAGATGGGACCTCAAATGAGGTTGGGAATATATGTAGGGTATGAATCACCTTCTATTATTAGATATCTTAAACCTTTAATAGGTGATGTTTTTCAGGCAAGATTTGTTGATTGTCATTTTGATAAAACAAAAATTTCAACACTAGGGGGAGAAAATAAAAAATTAGAAAAATGAGGTAACATAGTCTGTACCCCATTTTATTACATTTTGACCCATATAATAAACCATGGAAAGGAAATGTAAAGAAAATTGTGCACTTACAAGATTTAGCAAATCAATTGTTAGATTCTTTTTACTTATTTGAAAAGAGTGGCAAAGTCACACGTACCAGGTATAAATGTCCTAGCTCGAATTGTGATTTTAAATCTAAATGATGTAGCAAGTACATCTAAGGCACACTTGAAGCATGACTGACCTATGCGATCCAAAGACAAAAATCCCCGAAAAAGAAAAATGATATAAAAGGTGAATATGATCGAAAGTGATCTTGAAAAGACATTAGATAATAATAAATTCACAATTGAAAAACGTGCTCTCGAAGAAGCACAAGATGATGATAATGAGATCATTGATAATGTAAATGAAAACAATAATGATCTTGAAATTTCAATTAATTATGTTGATATAGGAACTTTGTGGAATCGAAAAGATATAAATATAGATGAAATATTTTCATTCTCCATTGCACGTGAAACTATGAATGAAAATAATAATCTCGAACCAAGAACTATGAATGAATGTCAAAATAGACTTGATTGGAAAAATTGGAAGGATGCAATAGATACTAAATTAAATTCTCTTAAAAACCAAAAATTATTTGGCCCCATTATGACTTATACCAAAAGATGTGAAACTGGTTGGGTATAAGTAGGTCTTTGTATGAAAACGAAAAGTCAAATACAAGGCTTGTCTTGTTGTACAAAGTTTTTACCAAAGACCAAGAATCGATTATGAGGTAACTTATTCTCCTGTTATGGATGCCATTACTTTTCGTTATTTAATTGGTTTATCAGTATTTAACAATCTTTGATATGTATCTTATGGATGTTGTTACTGTTTATTTGTATGGATCACTTGATATTGATATAAACATGAAAATCCCAGAAGGATTTAAAATGCCAGAGACATAAAAACCTAGAGAAATATATGCAATTAAGTTGCAAAGATCATTGTATGGATTAAAAAAATCAGGGCGCATGTGGTATAATAGGCTAAGTGAATATTTGCTTAAAGAAGGCTATGAAAATAATCCTATTTGCCCTTGTATTTTTTTAAGAAAAACAATATCCGATTTTGTAATAATTGTTGTCTATGTTCATGATTTAAATATCATTGGGACTAATAGAGAAATAAAGGAAGCAAGACATTACTTAAAGAAAGAATTTGAAATGAAAGATTTGGAAAAAACAAAGTTCCGCCTTGGTTTACAAACTGAGTATACTAAAAATGGTATAATGATACATCAATCAAATTATATATAAAGGGTATTGAAAAGGTTTAACATGGACAAAGCAAATCTTTTAAGTACTCCAATGATAGGTAGAAAACTTAATATTAAAAATGATCCACTTAGATCTAAGGAAGATAATGAAGAAGATCTTGACTCTGAAGTACCATACCTCAGTGCCATTGGGGCACTTGTGTACCATGCTAACTATGTAAAACCTGATATAGCTTTTGCAGTAAATTTATTAGAAAGATTCAGTTTATGTCCTACAAAAAGACATTGGAAAGGAACAAAGTATATATTCTTGATATCTTCGAGGTACATCAGACATTGGTTTATTTTATTCTAACAATACAAAATCAGTTTTACTTGGTTATGTAGATGAAGAATATTTGTCAGATCCACGTAATGCTAAATCACAGATTGTATATATATTTACATACGACAATACTGCAATATCATGGAGATTACAAAAGCAAACACTTGTAACAACTTCTTCAAATCATGCTGAAGTAATTGCTCTTCATGAAGCAAACAAAGAATGTAGATGGTTACGTTCGGTAACTAGACATATCCAAGGAGCATCTGGTTTACCCGTTGATAATAATCATACAATTTTGTATGAAGACAATGCTGCATGTGTTACCCAAATGAAAGAAAGTTACATCAAAAGTGATAGTACCAAGCATATTCCTCCAAAGTTCTTCTAATTCACACAAGAACTTGAAAGAAACAAAGAGGTTAATATTCAATATATCTGTTCATGTGATAATTTGACAGATCTCTTCACAAAGGCACTTCCTACATCAATTTTCAAGAAGCATTTACAAAATATTAGAACGCTTCAACTTCGAGATCTTTAAAGAAGAACTATATGTGCTCTGTTGGGGGAGAACATCATGTTGTACTTTTTTTTTCCTTATTAAAGTTTTATTCCAATGAGTTTTTTTTAATAAGGTTTTTAGCGAGACGATATATGTTCCCATAAGTCTCTCTTTGATAAGACTTTGATGGAGTACCGTAATAGATATTTCAAAGAAAAGTGTTATTATTATTATTATTATTATTATTATTATTATTATTATTATTATTATTATTTAGAAATATCTATCTAAATACTAATGACAAATTATTGTAGATACATAATTTGTCAAAGTTAAAATAGTAAGTCAAATTATTACATTAGTGTAATAGTTAGAGCATCTTTAGTGCATGTTCTGTAGTATTAAATTCTTTAATAGTAACAGTAGTTATAAACAATTTGCATTGAAATAAGAATGACATAGTTGTAAGTGAACTAACAATTAGTTTTCTGCAACTATATAACCAACACACACTATCAAATTTCAATAACTCTATTATTATTTTATTATTGTTTTATATTATTAAAATATCAATAAAGCTCAAACAACTCTAATTCAACGGCTACGTTTTGGTTTTTTACACGCAACTATCGTTAAAATAAAAATAACTCAAATCAACTATAAATATTTTAAATCCTATAAATCACTTTGAGCCCACAAAAAATATTTTAGTTTACCGATTAAATTACTCCCACTAAAGATGTATAAATACTATCTAATACACCAAAAATTTATTTTAAAAATACAAAAGCATTCTTCCATTTTCAATTTTTTTATTTAAATTTATATTCCAAATTGATTGTTTTTAGTGTAAAATTTCTAAATTGTAAAAGGTAACCGTGGAAAGACACAGGAAGGAAATGCATGATTGTGAAGCGATCTTTATCTTTTAACTTGCGAACTGTGTGGTCTTTTTAGGTGGGTTTTCTGGATCTGTTTATCTGTCGAACTCCATTCATTGAAGTCAGCCAGCATCATCAAGGTATTATTTTTATAGCATAAAGAAGATGATTAGCATAATTAATTGTGGATGACTTAATTAATTAACTGATTGATTGTGTATAGAGAATGGAAAAACAGAAGAGTTTTGGTGGATTTATGGAAAAACAGAAAAGTTTTCGCGTGGTGATGGAGAGGCAGCTGAGCTTCATGGGAAGTGATAGGAAGAAGAGCAAGGAATCACCTGGGAAACGCGGTGACTTACCCATTCATTTAGCTGCTCGCTCAGGGAACTTGGCTAAAGTCAGAGAGATACTTCAAAACTGCGATGAAACTAATCATTTGTTGGCAAAGCAGAACCTCGAGGGGGAGACCCCTCTTTACTTGGCTTCAGAGAACGGACATCATATGGTCGTTGCCGAGATACTTAAATACTCCAACTTGCATACTGCTTCTATTGTCGCCAGAAATGGCTACGATCCCTTCCATGTTGCTGCAAAACAGGGTCATCTTGGTAATTTTCTTTCTTTCATCTCTCTCTGTTATTCCTTCCCTGTCTCACTCACTCACTATCACTGCAGAGGTGCTGAGGGAGCTTCTGCACTCTTTTCCCAACTTGGCCATGACTACCGATTTGGCCAATTCAACTGCTTTGCACACAGCTGCTACTCAAGGTCATATTGATGTGGTAAATCTCCTTTTGGAATCAGATTCAAATCTAGCAAAAATAGCCAGGAACAATGGTAAGACTGTCCTTCACTCTGCTGCTAGAATGGGCCATTTACAAGTTGTCAAAGCCTTGCTCACCAAGGATCCAACCACTGGCTTTAGGACTGATAAGAAAGGTCAAACTGCACTACACATGGCTGTCAAAGGCCAAAATCAAGACATTTTGCTCGAATTGGTCAAACCTGACCCCGCAGTTTTAAATCTAGAGGATAATAAAGGAAATACAGCATTGCATATTGCCGCAAACAAGGGCCGTACTCAGGTCTTTGCTTTTACTTTTATAATTATTATTCATTGTGTATAAAGCTTTTTAAGTTATTGAGATATTCTTTATTTATTTCTGTTTAGGGATCAACATGCATCCATGTCTAAACTTGTTGTTATCAATTGAAGTAGACTGAAATAACCATGCAATCCTAAAATACCATATTATGGCTTGGTTGCACACAGCTAGTTTACAATGTAGAAAATATGGTAGAGCGACGGATAACTAGACAGATGCCTAGCAGAAAATGAACGAGAACAAGAGATTGCAATTCTAAATAAACCACCTCAATAGTAGACTATATGATTTCAGACCATAAACACTAGATAGATTTGGATATTAGTGTTTGTATCTTGTACAGCTTCCAAACAGTTTGGAACCATCTTGTGTAGTTGTTTATATTTAGTCTTGGACCATTTACTTGGAGCGAATTGGAAAACCGTGGGAGTTGTGTTTATTGCCTGCACCGCTGGGTGTGCCTATTTGTTAGTTTGGAGTCTCTAATGATGTCTTTGGCTCCATGTTGGTACTATTTGCAGCACCTGTGATAGGAACCCGATTCGATAGGAATCAAACTGATACTAAAGGATTAACAAGTATTTGTATATCAAATTTACTTTAACAAGTGGAACAACCCTATACCCTACCTCTACAACAATTATATGAAAGAAAGCATAACACTGGTTGGGGGTAAGCACCTTACGAGATGAAGGATAGAGTAAATACTGAATCAATAAATTCCCTAATTCTGAGTTAAAGCCGACCTCTTTTCTCAGCCAACACCCGGAGCCCAAATGCTAGTTTCTCACATGCCTTTTACGGTTACCCTTCCCCCTATATATTTCTCTTGTGTTATTCCCCCTATCTCTCTCCTTCCCTCATCCCACATACATCTTCTTATAGGACTCTTAGTCTAATAATAGTTAGTTAGTATATTTCCTTAATTTTAGGGAATCTCTATTGTAGGAGAGAGAATTATCTCCTAACTGTTTTCTAACAAACTTTCTCCGTGTATATTAATGAATGTAAGTTGGTGAGCTCAAGGCTCTACAATGGTGAAAATGGAACAAGAAATTGTAAACCAGAGTTCTATGAACTCCTAAACCAGAGCTAGACTCCTAATCCAGTGAGAATCCTCTTTTAACTGTTATTAACAAACTTTTTCCATGAGTCTCAACCTCCCTTCCCTCTCTCCTCTTATAACATAGATTCCCTAAATTTAAGGAAATATCCTAACTAACACTTATTACTAATAGATTTAGAGTCCTATCATCTCCCTTCCCCTAATTCATAATGGGCCTATTATTAATAATATTGTGCAATTATCACATCGAATGAGACATGTGACATGTCCTGAAAATAGATTATGTCTATGGGGTATTTTCAGCCAGAAAATAGACTATGTTTGTTCAGAGTCTCACATCGAATGAGACATGATCTAAACATATATTTATAAGTGTGGGCGATTCTCACCTTACAAATAGATTTTGTGGGGTTGTGTTAGATCCAACCATAGTTCTAAGATGGTGTCATAGTCTATCCAAGATCTGTTAGGCCACTTAGGCCACCAGCTACCAGGTTTTTGTTATCGAGCCATCCACCATTTATACCCATGAATCAAGTTCAATAGTGCTAGGTGTGTTCAATAGTGCTAGGTGTGTGTTAAGAGTCTTACATCCAACGAGATATGGTATGAACATATGTTTATAAGTGGGAGAAATCTTCACCTTCCAAGTTGATTTTGCGGGTTGTGTTAAGCCCAACCATAATTTTAAGAATGTTATCTTCTCCATTATTGCTACATGAAAATATAGTCATTGTTCCAATGCTTGATGGCATCAACCAATGCTGGTGCAAAATATCCTTTGTTGGGATTAACTAACATTTGCATGGTAGAAATTCGTGCCATTTCATTTCACTTCATTCCGCCATAAACCATCTGTTCAAACATACCCACAGTATTGATAAACTTTGGGAGCAAACCTTCTGTCAGGACTAACTAAATTTTTTTTGGCCATTTCGTTACACTCCATTCTGCCCTAAACCACATCTCCAAACATACCCATAGTATTGATTAACTTTGGGAGATAACCATTTGAGAAGGGGAGAAGCCAAGCTCTCGAATCTTGGAGTGTTAGTATTCTTGTCAATTCCTTGTAAACTTTCTATCATTATTAAAAAGCTTCTCTTCTCATTTTATTTTTGCACTTTCCGCTGATGTCTGATCAATGGAAAGTGTATCTCAACAACAGTTTTCTGCTTCATAAGGTACATGAGAGTCACACACCGCCAACCTGTCTTCAGATTTTAGTTGCGCCTCCACAAAACTGCTTGTCAGCCTCTCCTAAGTCTATTTTTTGTCGCACATTACCATTTGTCCCTGGTTTGAATAGCGTGTCTAAGTTCCATGGACGCTACTACTTTTTTTTTTCTTCATGTAACTTGCTGTTTCAGTCTAAATTTCTTTCTTATGGTATGGATAGATGTTAGAACAGTAACGGGAATACAGATCAGAATAAAGAGAAACACACAAAAGCTTTGTTCATGCATTTCGGCCAAATTGCCTATCGACTATAAAGTAGCTATAATTTCCTTTATTTATGTCTTGTGAATTGTTGCATTGGATTACAGTGTTACAAAGCCATATATATATATATATAATAACAAGTCATAGTTTATCTAAAACCCTAATTCCTAGTTTTCCTCAACAAACCATTATCTCTACCCATAATTATTGCAACAATATGAGTTATACTCTCAACAATTTATAGTTATCTCAACAACCTATAATTATCTCAACAATGAGTTATATTCTCAACAATCTATAGTTATCTCAACAACGTATAATTATCTCACTAATATGAGTCATATTCAACAATGGATTAAGAGTTAAGAAAAGGCCCCATCATCTTTGGCTTTTGCAGGGAGCCATCAATTCCTTGGAAAAACTTCATGGAAAAAAGTGGCTAGACCGGTATTCTGTTGTTGAAGTTTGATTTCTTGGTTAAGGACCATATGAATTACGATAATCTGATAACCCAAGTTAAAAATGATAATTCTTACTTTGGCAATCTATTGACACATGACTTTGTGTTCCTTTAATTAGCCAGTTCTGTTTATGTGTTAATAGCTTTGTACCAAACCTGAACTCTTGAATTTGTGAGTGGTTACTCACCTCCTGCCAGATAAATAATTTATTGTTAGCCACTTTATGTTTTAGTTCTTAGATTGATTATCCTTTGCTTACTTTCATTATTAATTGTTGGCCACATTCTTTTGATGGCACACATTTAAATGATAGTTGACTGTTAACATGAATAATACTGTTGCTACAGTAAATGAAGATCCCCACCAATCTGTCTTGCATCACCTTGATCTCTGATTTTATATTTTATTTATTTAGAAAGATAAAATTGACACCAAGATAGTGGAGAGAAATTTTGCTTTCAATATCTATTCTAAAATGGTCATTATTAACTACAGAATGTCCGCTGCTTGTTATCAACGGAGGGTATTAACATCAATGCTATGAACAAGGCGGGAGAGACTCCTCTTGACATTGCAGAAAAATTTGGAAGTCCAGATCTTGTCTCCATAATGAGGGATGCTGGGGCTGTTAATTCCACTGACCAAGGGAAGCCTCCAAATGCAGCAAAACACCTTAAGCAGACTGTGAGCGATATAAAGCATGATGTGCAATCCCAGCTCCAACAGACACGCCAGACGGGCATGAGGGTCCAGAAAATTGCAAAGAAGCTGAAAAAACTACACATAAGTGGCCTGAACAATGCGATAAACTCTGCTACCATTGTTGCCGTTCTCATTGCTACAGTTGCTTTTGCAGCCATATTCACTGTCCCAGGTCAATATGTGGAAGAGAAAGTGCATGGGTTGTCACTTGGACAAGCGAATATAGCAAAGAGTCCAGCTTTCTTGATATTTTTTGTGTTTGATAGCCTGGCATTATTCATCTCTTTGGCTGTAGTGGTGGTTCAAACTTCAGTTGTTGTGATTGAGCAAAAGGCAAAGAAGCAGCTTGTTTTTGTGATTAACAAGCTCATGTGGCTGGCTTGCCTTTTCATTTCCATAGCATTCATTTCTCTCACTTACGTGGTAGTGGGATCACACTCAAGATGGCTTGCTATATATGCTACAGTGATTGGAAGCTTCATAATGCTCTCTACAATTGGTTCCATGTGCTACTGTGTCATTCTGCATAGGATAGACGAGACAAAATTGAGGGCCGAGAGCCGGTCTTTCTCCATGTCGCATGCATCAGACCAGGAGATTTTAAACAGTGAATACAAGAGGATGTACGCACTTTAGGATTGATTATATATGCTATGAGTGGTTGCGACCAAAGCAGTAACCGATTATGCAAACACAAACTATGATCTACTATGCTAGACTAGAGAAGCCGTAGAGAATCCAATACATTGTGATGATTACCACATCGACCATAATGTGTATAGTAGTACGATATTAGTGAATCGATATTTTATTTTAGCTATCTGTAAAATGTGTATTGTCCTTGTGAATGCTGGGAAATATCTTACGACTAATTTGTTTTGTCTATTGCCAACCCATAAAACCTAGGGCTAAGACTTGTTTCCGAATTATCCATTGAACACCACGTCCTCAATTCACTTCACTTCTTTCTTAACTCTCCACTACATAGATTCATTGAACACCACGACCTCGATTCACCTCACTCTCCACCTCATAGATCCATTGAACACCACGACCTCGATTCACCTCACTCTCCACCTCGTAGATCCATTGAACACCACGACCTCAAATCACCTCACTCATTTCTTAACTCTCCACCTTATAGATCCATTGAACACCACCGCCTCGATTCACCTCACTCCTTTCTTAACTCTCCACCTCACAGATCCATTGAACACCACGACCTCGATTCACCTCACTCCTTTCTTAACTCTCTACCTTATAGATCTATTGAACACTACGACCTAGATTCACCTCACTCCTTTCTTAACTCTCCAACTCATAGATCAATTGAACACCACGACCTCGATTCACCTCACTCTCCACCTCATAGATCCATCGAACACCACGATCTCGATTCACCTCACTCATTTCTTAACTCTCCACCTTATAGATTCATTGAACACCACCACCTCAATTCACCTCACTCCTTTCTTAACTCTCCACCTCATAGATCCATTGAACACCACGACCTCGATTCACCTCACTCATTTCTTAACTCTTCACCTCATAGATCCATTGAACACCACGACCTCGATTCACCTCACTCCTTTCTTAACTCTCTACCTTATAGATCCATTGAACACTACGACCTCGATTCAATTCACTCCTTTCTTAACTCTCCACTTCATAGATCCATTGAACATCACGACCTTGATTCCTCTCACTCTCCACCTCATAGATCCATTGAACACCACAACCTTGATTCACCTCACTCCTTTCTTACATTTCCACCTTATAGATCAATTGAACACCACGACCTCGATTCACCTCACTCCTTTCTTAACTCTCCACCTCATAGATCTATTGAACACCACGATCTCGATGCACCTCACTCCTTTCTTAACTCTCCACCTTATAGATGCACTACTATCCCCACCATTGTATCCATATTTCGCAGCTAGCACCTTAAATGAAAATCGATATTATTATGGATAGATTAAACTCACTTACCTTTCCAACATGTAATAAACAAAACTAGTAAAATATATAATTAAAATTCACTTCCAGATAGAGTTCTAGAAGGAAAGTGCACAGATACAAATTCTGAAAAAACAGAGTAGGAGAGACAAGAAAATAGAGGTATTTCTCATATAAAATAGCAATACAATAAATTATTTCTTATATACTAGTTAAATTGCATACTAGTCTCTCGGTTGGGTCTAATTTATTAAATCTAATACTCAATTCGATCAATAGTCTTTGAATTGAATTGAGTGGTTAACTCGTATTTTTAAAATTAAATTCAAATTAAACTAACCTGCTCATTAATCAACTTAGTTGGATTTGGTTTATGGGTTATTCACTAAATGTAATTTTCAAATTTTAATTAAAACATTAATTTAATTAACACATTTATTTTAAAAAAATATTAAAAAATCATAAACTTCTAGTATTTAATTTAAATAAAATTTATTGATTAATATGTAAACTTTTAGTATATATATATATATATATATATATATATATATATATATATATATATATATATATATATATATATATATATATATATATATATATATATATATATATATATATATATATATATATATATATATATATATATATATATATATATATATATGTGTGTGTGTGTGTGTATATATATATATATATATATATATATATATATATATATATATATATATATATATATATATATATATATATATATATATATATATATATATATATATATATATATATATATATATATATATATATATATATATATATATATATATATATATATATATATATATATATATATATATATATATACACACACACATATATATATACACACATATATATGTATATATATATATATATATATATATATGTGTATATACATATATGTGTATATATATATATATATATATATATATATATATATATATATATATATATATATATATATATATATATATATATATATATATATATATATATATATATATATATATATATATATATATATATATATATATATATATATATATATATTGGAAGAATTATTCTATGTAGTTTATAAATAAAATAAAATAAAAAATTGTGTGACATATCAATAGATTGGGTTCGCGGATTTATGGACTTAAGGCTCTGTTTATTAAGACATTTTTTGAGTTTATAACTTATGGCTTATAGCTTCTAAGCTCATATGACGATAAAAGACCCGTATAGTAACAATATTTTCATCACAAGCTTATAACTTATTTTATTAGTTTATAGTTTATTTTTCATACACTATTTTAAATAGCGTTTTAGCTTATAACTTATAACTTATCATATTTTCTTCCACTTTTACTCTTATTATTTTAACTAAAATTCACCACTATCATTTATAATTTATTATAATTTAAAATAAAATAAGAATCATTAAATATCTTTTATGTCATTTTATTTTATCAACTAATTAAACCTTTAATTTTATCAAACACTTCAATTAGATTATCAGCTATAAGTCATCAGCCATCGGCTATAAGCTATAAGTCACCAACTATCAGTCATAAGCTATAAGCTATTAGCTAACTTATCAGTCAACCGTTATTTTTAGCAAACAGAGCTTAAAACTTCAAACTCGTTACCCGAACCAAATACCAATGGGTTTGAATGGGTTGCTTCGGGTTGGACTGGTACATGATTGGGTTGAGTAAAAATAAGGATTGGGTGAGTGAGTTCACAGATTGGCCCGTACTCATGAACACCCCTAGTGCTAGTCATGAATGTCCTCGTTTCTTTCCTTTGCCCTATCATTTCTGGTTCAGTGCTAACAACACTATTCCTTTTGTCTCCATGTGCTCCCCCTTTAGCTAACCTGACAGAGAACGTGTCTTCCATATCTTTCTTCATTGCAACCTATTTACGACAACCTTGTTTTCAAGGTTGAAGTTAGGGTAGTTGTCTAACATCTCATTAAAATCCTCCCATGTGGCTTCAGTTGGTGTCGTGTTTTTCCATTGCACAAGCACCTATGGTACAATGTTTGTGCCTTTCTTGATGGACTTCGCTTGCAGAATGGAAATTAATGCAACTAATGTTCTTGTGGCATTCCTTTGAAAGGCTTCAGTTGAGAGATGTAAAAAACTAGATGTATTTTAGCTACACCAGGTAGTTGTAATTTGTAAGCCACACTACCAATTTTGGCCATGACAGGAAATGACCCAAAATATCTCATTCCCGACTTCTGATTTCTTCTCAATGTGATAGAGTGTTACCTGTATGGTTGGAGTTTCACTAGAACCAAATCTCCCACTACTAAGGACACACCAGTTCTCTTCTTGTCAGCTTGGTTCTTGATATACATTTAAGCTCTTTCTAAATGTTGTTTCAATTGCTACGAAATGTTATCTCAGTTGACCAATTGTTCTTACAGAGTGATAAGGTCAGATGCCAGTGAATTGTATCGAATTAGAGTAGGTGGATCTCTTCCATATAATGCTTTAAATTGTGTCATACCAATGTTGGTGTGGAATGATGTGTTGTACCAGAACTCTGCCCAAGCTTTTGGGTCATGAAAAGTGAAACATCTCCAAACACTTGTTCACTACTTCTGATTGAACATTTGATTAAGGATGGTAAGCTGAGGACATGGCCAATGTGGTACCATGCAGTTGAAATAAGTTCTTCCAATAACTGCTAGTAAAAAATTTATCCCTGTCTGATACTATTGACTTAGGCATGACGTGTAATTTAACAACATGAGTCATGAATAACTCAGCTATAGACCTGCCTGTGTAATCCCCTTTGAGTGCTATGAAATGACCATATTTTGAAATGGTCTACTACTTCCAATATAGTATTGAAGTCGTACGAACTTGATAGTCCTGTTATAAAATCCATTGTTATATCCTTTCATACTTGAGTAGTATATATAGTGGTTGCAGTAGTCCGACAGGTTTGGTATGCAAAGTTTTTGCTTGTTGACAAATTGCACAAGACTAGATAATTATTTGTACATCATGCTTCATATCTGGTCAGTAAAATTGTCGTGCCACCCTTGCCAAAGTTCTTGTTAACTTAGAATTTCCCCCAATTGGTGAGCTATGAAATTCTTGTAAGATTTGTTGTATAAAGTTCACATCCTTAGGTACAACAGTTTTGTCATTCCAATATAATAATTCACCTTTGGTCGAGTAATTTGGAGCAATAGGGGATGCTCATCACATTTGCATAATAACTTGTAATTTGGGGTCTCTCTGTAGTGCTTCTTTCAACTGTTTGACAATTAAATTCTCATATTCATACCATGATAATGACATTACTCTAGAGAAGGCATCACCTGCTAAATTGTCTTTTCCCGACTAATACTCTATTATGAAGTCGTATCCCAAAAATCTATGCAGCCACTCTTGTTGCTCTAGGGTTTGCAAGCTTTTGATCCATCATGCATCTCAAACTCTTCTGATCAGCTCAGATAATAAATCTATGGCCTAATAGATAGTGTCTGAACTTAGCAATTGCTTCTGATATGTCCAACATCTCTCTAAAATAAGCTAGCTTCTTTTGAGTGCGTGGTGCAAGTTTCTTAGAGAAATAGGCAATTGGGTAACTGTTTTGATGTAGCAATGCACCTATACCAACCCTGATGCATC